TTTTTCATCTTTCTTTCGGTCAAGAGTCTATCGGACACGCGTTCTTTACTTTCACAAAGAGTAAAATCTGCGTACACACTACCCTCTTCAAATTCACTTTGTGGATTGTACTGTGTTTGTTGTTGTTACTGTTGCTCTCAATCTCGAAATAAGATATTCTTACCCATGTATCCGATTTACGCAATGAAAAGCAAACTTGCCGAATGGGGCTTACATGTATTCAATAGTGACATTTTCCCTTTTTCGTTTACTAAAAGAGTGTGAAACAAATATATAACATTTCACAAACTCGTGAGACTATCCTCTTAGAATCGTTATTTGGATGAACGAAATCTATCCGAGACATATATGCACCAATTTCTAGCAAAATTGGTGTACGATCAGTTAGTTTGTTAGTAAAATATGAAGTTATCGTGTGATCAAACGATCCTATGAACTTCTGATGTTCTACTAGTTTTTTATTTTTTTCATAGAAATTTTGTTGAAATCCTTATTCTTTTTTAGACACGACGAATTCAGGGATGTGAAATTAATTAATTGCAATACCAAGATAAACTTATGCAACGATTGAAAGAAATGACTTGGAATTTTGGGGTGTTATTACCACTTTCTCAAGCTCAAGTGGATAAGTGTCACTTTCCAAGACTTTAAGGGTCTAGGTGTAACTAACAAACTCACATTTGGCGAATTGGACTTGCAATATACTTAACTATTGCAAGTTGATCTGAAGGATCTTTGCATTATTTCTTACTCCCTTCCTATATTAAGTGGAGAATTGAACTACAAACAAAATATTTTTCAGAAAGAAAGAAAGAAATTGGAATGTGAACAATCAACATCAACAGATTCAGGATTCTAGTTATATCGAAGGAAAATGAATAACCACTCTTAATCCATTATATGTAAAATAAGTATCAATATTGTCACACTTCAAACTAAGAAAATGTCATTGTCACGAGTACTTCAATCTAGTGATACCGATGATAGTCTAGAGACATACAATAGGTGTATGTTCAATTCTCATTGTTCTCGTCTACTTAATTACGTTTGATAATCCCCTATAATTTAAAATTAAAAAAGAAAAAAAAAACTAAGAAAAGGTCACCACTCAGTATCTATCCCTGGATATAAATTTTTGGGAAGTAATTCACCAAAACCTCATGTGTTCACTTTTCAGTTATAATTTCTTTTTATGTACGTACATTTAGGAAGCACTGAAAAAGGAAGAGAAAGAAAAAGATCTAAAATTATGTTATTGCATTTTCATCTTTTCATATCAAGGACCCATGAAAGTTAGTCCCCATTTATGTAAATTGTAACAGAAAAAAAATTATAGTTTTTTTCTTGTGCATATTATTTTTAGTTTTTCCGGATAAAAATAATTCTGAGTTATATTTCCAATTTCTTTTGATGAGGATACAATAAAACTTCTTGTAAATAATAAACTATACCCTAAAATGAAGACTTAATGTGTAATATACGAGAACCTAGAGGAGGTCACGGGTTTCGATTAATCACGTGACAAAAAGGAGCAACGACAAATGAAATTCAAATAGAACGAAGAAAAAGTAAACAAAAAACAAACTAAAAAGTAGTCACGGGTGATATCTGTATATACTTTTTTATTCTTTTATTTTTTCTACTTTCTTGCTTTTTTGACAATCATTTCTCGTAACTGGAGGTACAAGGAAGGAATATATAGCAGTGGTAGAATATAATAGTACAGTAGTCCATTACTATAAATGAATAAAAGTCAATTTTCGAAAAGAAGAGAGTCAAAATTGTCTTTGCTTTGCTTCTCGTCAAAGATTTTGGAGGTGCTTCAATCATATTATATTCTCTGCTAAGGATTAATTATATTCTCCTTTACGTTCATTACGTACCCTATTATATTTCTCAAATGTACAAAAATATAGGAGTAATAGTTCTTTTATTTCACTGCTTTTAGTGGAACGAACATGAGCAGTACATTGTTAATTAACTCAGCAATACAGATTCGTGAGTTCTATTAGATCAAAATAGTTAAGGTCAAAGGCCTAGGCGGACTTTCGACAAAGCGGTGTAAAAATTTAAATAAATAAATAAATCACTATAATAAAAAGCGGTGTAATATATATATATATATATATATATATATATATAATAAAAATTTCAACGAAGTGGTGTCATGTGATATCACTTAGCTTGCCGCAAGGTGTATTCGCCCCTCATTAAGATTGTGCATATAATAAACCAATTCGTGAAGTCCATTGAGCCAAAGCGGATAGTACTATGTACAGTTAACACCTCTTTATAATAACATCATTTATCTAAAAAACTTTTGACTGATGTATAGGAATGTTGTTATATAGAACATATAATACAATATAGTAATTTTTTCTTTTTAATTAAAGAATTTTATTACCAAGTATCAAATATGTACAAGTTCAAAATTGGAAAAACTGGAGAACCACTGAGCTATTGCCTGCAAGTAGGACATGAAGCCCCAACTGCAGTGATCATCTTATCTTTCTCAGTATATCTTCCAACCAAGAGGTTGTGAGTTCGAGTCACCCCAAGAGAAAGGTGGGGAGTTTTTGGAGGGAGTGAGCCGAGGGTCTATCGGAAACAGACTCTCTACTCCATGGTAGGGGTAAGGTCTGCGTACACACTACCCTCCCCAGACCCCATTAGTGAGATTATACTGGGTTGTTGTTGTTGTTACACTATGGATAACTATTAAGCTCTCTCAATCTATATTTTATCTTAATTTTCCTGTTGCCTCTCTGAAAGATGTCCTGAACTAATGATCCAAGTATCCCCTCTACATGCTGAGACTTAGCCTTTAATATTCTTGAGTTCCTCTCTGTCCATATGTAGTAGATGCAGCCTGCTAATGTCATTATATATACTTTTGCCTTTGGTGTTTTCCCCTTCATTTCCTTTGTTGCCCACTCCACTTCTTCCTCCCATGTCATTACTGATTTTTTGAATCCCCTGCCATTTCAATAACCTTTCTCAAACCTCTCTAGTCACCTTGCATTCAAAAAATAGATGTTGCATGGTTTCATTTTCTTCCTTACAGAGTTCACATGTTTGATCCATCATCGTTCCCCAACCTGCTACCTTGTCTTTGGTATGTAGTCTTGATTGTAGTACTAGGTTTAGTATAAAATCCCACCTAGGTACAACATAGTTGTTATAAGTTAAGTTTCCTCCATGACATTTTAGGATAGTCTTCTCTCAACTGATGGTACATCACTTTTATGGAATATGAATTCATTTTCAGTAGGTCACTGATGCACAACCCTGCCTTTGACAAATATGTTTTAGCTTTTAGTATCTTGTTTAGAACCCAAGAAGCTTGGTTGACTTAAATTTTCCAAATATTTCTTCCTTTCCCATAGTATATATGGACCCACCTTACCCACATCTTATCTTTCTTTGTGCCTAAGTTCCACAATAACTTAATCACAGCAGCCTTGTTCTTGGTCTCCAGATGTAGTACATTAAATCCTCCTGTTGTCCTTGGCCAGCATACTTTCTCCCATTCTAGTAGTGCTCTTCTTGATATATCATATGTGCCTGTCCATAGAAAACTTCTCCATATTGCTTCTATCAACTTAACCTTTGATAGCACAAAGATTTGTGACCAGAAGACTTGAATTGAGAAGAGTACATTCTTTATCAACTGAAGTCATCCAGCATATGACAGGAATTTTGTAGTCCATGAAGTAATCCTCTCTATCATCTCCTCTAACATTGATTGGCATTGCACTATTGAAATTCGTTTAGAGCTCAACGGGACTCCAAGATATCTGATTGGCAATTTCCCTTTGGCAAATCCAGATGCTGCTAGTATCTCATCTTGCATTTCTCTACTGATACCTCCAAAGTAAATGAAACTTTTATTTTTATTTACTATCAGACCAGAACACCTTAAGAATTCATTGAAACAATCCATGAGCAATCGTATTGATCCCACTTCTCCTCTACTGAAAAGGAGCAAATCATTAGCAAAACTCAATTGTATAATCTGCATCTTTGCACATTTTGGATGAAAATTAAAATATGGATTTCTCTGTAGAGTTTTAAATTTTCTGGTTAGGTACTCCATGGCAATCACAAACAAAAAAGGGGACATTGGGCCCCTCCCCT